GAGAGAGAGAGAGAGAGAGAGAGGGCATTCAAAAAGGTATGCGGATTGCCAACTTATAAAAGGTAACCACCACAAAATACAAGGGTATTGGTTCGTAGCAGTCTACAAAACTAATTGGAAAATCCGTTGGGCAATGGATATTAGAGTCCAACCAGCACAAAAAAAAAAAACGATGTCTTCAGAGCAGCACTATCAAAACCTGACACAGATAGACAGCTGAACCCAAACTAATGGAAACTAGACCCAGGAAAGTAGAAAACAGACCAGCACTACATCATTTACTTCACCATCTACTCCAAAACTAAAACTTTCGTGGCCTTTAAGAGGAGGAAGACCGTGAATCTCGCAATGCCTGAGCAAATGTGTTCCACCCCTTCTCAAGCTTTTCCGCCATCAGAAGACCAATCTCCTTCCGAATAGCCATGTCCTCCCGAACAACTTTGGCAGTGAGCTTTCCAATCTGTTGTTGCACTGCTGCCTGTTTGTACATGGCTTTCACTGTAAGTTCAGCGCACTCCACTGATCGCCTACTGTGCTCCCTCAGTGCGTCTGTCTGCTCCCTCATTACTGCGGAGATGTCCTTCACAGCCGCTCCCGGGCATTTGCGACACTGCGTCTGCGCTTTGCTGACGTTCCCACTTCAGCCCCTTCAGCACATGCATTGGCAACCCCACTCTCTGCCCTGCCACCACTGACAGGAGGAGAACCCCGACTGCCCTGTCCTGGTCCTCGCCCATCCTCCTCATTTCCAGGATCTACAACACCTTCAGGATGGACAGCCGGGTTTCTAATATTGAAGGAGTCAATGAGATCAAACCAGGACCTTCGAAGGCGGAACGTGAGTCCAGCATTCGCTCGTGCCTCAGGTGACGTGGTCCAATAGCTCTGCACTCCACTCATGCCATCGTGGACCAGCACCTTTCTATACCACTTCCACAGGTTCTTCCACCTATTTTCACAGTCATAGCCATTACGGATGAAGCCGGCAGCACACACGACAATTGATATACCCTCCCATTTCTTATTCAAAGAGCAAGCATTGCCTATAGCTTCAGAGTTGACTGCTCGTGCAACCTTGTACTCCCCATGTGCGCGGATGAGGGCAAGCATTTCAGCATCATTCCAGCGCCGATTTCGGTGACACCCATCACCGCCATTACCAGGGACTGCGCCATCAGAAGCAGTGGGGGGGAGGAGATGCTGCTCCTCACCCACCCATGGCTGCTCCTCACCTGGGGTCCCACGTGCTTACACGCTACCTTCCGTCTCGTGATGTCCACGATCTCCTCCTGCTTGTGAGTCAGCGCCTGCTTGTGAGTCAGCATAGTCGTCATCCCCTCCCCCCATTTGGTGTGGCAAACCATTCCCACAATCGCCTGCCCAGTCAACACTGCCGACCCCCAACTCCTGATCACTCAAAACCACTGTCCCAGAGGGGCCCAAGCCAGCAGTTGGCAAACTGTGGCTTGTCTGCTGCAAAGCCTCGTCGAATGCAGAGAGCAAACTACGTTGTGGCATGTCACAAACAACCTGCGATTCTAACTGTGACACGCCTACACCCAGCTGTGACATGTCTACACCCCCCACACCCCCGACGGAAGACTGAGGAGACAACAACGGCTGCTCCTGCAATTGCTCCGTAGACCATTGAGGCATGCTGAAAGTGTGAGCGTCGGTTGAAGGTGAGACTTCTGTTTGSTCTTCGTTGCTTGAGCTCCGCATTGCACGCCGACRCAAGTACTCCCTCATGTCCTCCAGCGACCTCTGATCGGACGAACTGGCAACGAACGAGTGGGGGACTGGCTCCACTCCACTGGTGGTGTGCGCCRCTGAAGGACCACTACGTGGAGGTTCATGCCCAGAGAATACACTTCYACTGTTCCCAACAGTGCGAAGGGCCTCCATACTCARCTGTGTGGGAGTGGTTGCAGTGCCWGGCGACGCCACACGGAACAGTGCACCCGCTATGGAACGCTGCCACACACGAAGCTATGGAACAYGAACGAGAGCGTTCMCGTTTTCCGTTTCCGAATACAGGTGCTGCGCGCCGCGGGCAGAAAAAGGCAGAAGAYAGTACATTACGGATTCGGAGYACGTGGTCCTAACTGCGAACTCCATCTTACAGGTACTGAATCCGRAYGCCGGGYGGAAGCAGCGAATAATCAACCGTGACCTTCGTCATATGGGCCTYGCTCCACCACTCTCGGCAKGCACRAAAGACAAAAATCTCAGCGGTGTATCTTTCCATCTTCTAGCGCAAGATTCACTCTCTTTTTGCACATTTCGAGAGTAGTGGAGTGAAGTCTGCGCAGGCTCTACAAGTGAAATAAGGGCCAGATCCCACTAGCAAAGAGGATTGGAATAACTGGCCGAATTTGGACGTGTTCCACTCAAAGATGCAGAAAAGCAGTTCAATCACAATTGTTTGCACCTCTCCACAAACACGTCCAGGTTCAGAGGCTTATTCCAATCCTCTTTACCAGTGGGATCTGCCCGTATGGAAAATCGGCCAAAAAATAAAAGAAAACGAAAAAGCTAAAGAGCAATGTATCTAGCTTCGCAAACATAGAAAATACAGTGAAAAACCAAAGAAAACAAAACAGAAATCTATCTATCTTGGTTCCCTGAGAGCATACATGCATCGAATGTGCATTGTTACGGGGAGGGCTTCTGCGGCTTTTGCAAGCATCAAGAAGTCGTGGGCCTCCGAGCTCATGTGAAGGGGCCACGGACGTGACTCGCAGCAGCAGCTGTCGATTCTGAGGTTCAAGAAGATGGTCATTGTTGCAGTTCTTTCAAACATCGACCTCCTCACCATTTTTTTAAATCCATTATGTCTTTTAAATTTATTTATTTATCTTTTCTCATCCTGTCGCACAGGTCCAAAAATAGGCCATGACTCGTGTGCTAGTGGAATCGTGCCCCGGGTAGATGAGTGACAAGGCATTTTACAAACATTTTATTGGAACGAAATGAAAAAAAAAAAAAAAAAAAAGACACAGCAAACTTCATACGTGAAAAAGAAAAGAAAAGAAAAGAAAAAAAACAAC